GAACCACTTCCCTTTCCGAGCATCTTTCAAGCAGAAGTCTTTGTCATAAGTCATCTTACAGTAATTAATCTTCAAAGCAACTATCGCTGCTATACTCAGCGCTATACTCAGCGATAGCCAAGCGGCGCTAAAAACGATCTCAGTCTATGAGATTAAATCGCTTCTAGTGGAGGAGCGAATAGGAAAGCTGAACCGCCTATCAGTTTGCAACCGTGTACACCTGATCTGAGTGCCGGAGCATAAAGGGATAGCCGGCAAGGAGTTGGCCGACGAACTCGCCCGCTCTGCGAACCACCGTCGTATACCATTTATGCAATTATTGCATTTGACCTGGAGGTCATCTAGATGTTTCGCTACTGCTACCACTACGAGGTCATCCACATAGGCGATTAGTTTCATGGATTTTTGTTGATGTATTCTTAGTGCCCCGTCGTACATCAAGTTCCAAAGAAGGGGGCCTAAAACTGAAACTTGCGGTACTCCAATCGAAATAGAGTAGCCCTTAGTACCCTCATATGTGTCGAATAGCAGTTTTTATACCCTGAATAGGGTATATTAAGTTTGCCACGAGTTTGTAACACCCAGAAGGAAACGGCGGAGACCATATAAAGTATATATATAAATGATCACCGTGACGAGCTGAGTTGATTTAGCCATGTCCGTCTGTCCGTTCGTCCGTCTGTATGTACGCGAACTAGTCCCTCAGTTTTTGAGATATCGATCTGAAATTTTGAACAAGTCTTTTTCTTACCAAGAAGCTGCTCATTTGTCGGAACTGCCGATATCGGACCACTATAGCATATAGCTACCATACAAACTGAACAATCGGAATCAAGTGTTTGTATGGAAAACTCTTTCATTTGACGAGGTATCTTCATGAAATTTGGCGTGTATTATTATTTAAAGCATTCATCTAATCTCCGAAGAAATTGTATAGATCGGATGACTATAGCATATAGCTGCCATACAAACTGAACAATCGGAATCAAGTGTTTGTATGGGAAACTCTTTCATTTGAAGAGGTATCTTCACGAAATTTGGCGTGCATTATTATTTAAAGCATTAATCTGCTCTCCGAAGAAATTGTATAGATCGGATGACTATAGCATATAGCTGCCATATTAACTGAACGATCGGAGTAAAGTGCTTGCATGGAAAATTTTTTTTTCGACGAGGTATTTTCACGAAATTAGGTACGAGTTATTGCTTAAGGCAACAAATTATTCTCCACAGAAATAGGTCAGATCAGATCACTATATCATATAGCTGTCATACAAATTGAACATTCGGAATCAAGTTCTTGTAAGGGGCCTTTGTATTTGTGAAGGGTATTATAGCTTCGGCGCAACCGAAGTTAACTTTTTTTCTTGTTTTGTACCAGTTTTCCATCTTTTGCCACTTTTAGCAATATCAAATATTTTTTTATAAAGCCGTATTGTCTCTCTGATAATCCGCCGGCTTTTTGGATTGCTCACTCTAAGTGGTTTCTTACTATGCTTTCGTACACTTTACTAATCGTGTCGAGCATGCACCGAGGTCGATATAATGAAGGTTCTTCAGGTGGCTTTTTCGGTTTTGAGAGTAGAACCAAACGCTGCATCTTCCACGGGTCGGGAAACACGCCTTCCAATATATACGCATTGTACATTTTAACGAACAAACTGGGTTTCAAAGTCAGGGTTTCTTTTAGGGCTCTATTTGGTATACCATCTATTCCAGGCGCTTTGGAGTTTTTAATTTTTTTCGCGATAGCCAGTAGTTCTTTTTATGTGACTAATAGAGGGGGCTCTGCAACATCGTTTCGCTTAGCATAGGAAATGGGGTCATGTGCTGTAAATAATGCGTCGGCGACTATCCTCATAAATGATATTTTAACATACATATTTTTTCCGCGGTTCCCCAGGGGTCTATGTTTGCTTCTTCACAAAGCTTTTCGAAACAACCTCTTTTGCTATGAGTGATTGCTGACTTCAGGAGCTTTTTTTTGGCGTTTAAATGCTTCTCTGAGGCGATTTTCATTCTCGCCTTCCTGGTTACGCTGGAAGCGACGTCTTGCTGAGTTACAGAGCTTTTTCAGCGTGTCGATTTCTGCGTTCCACTAGTATACTGGTTTTCGCGTGTTATTGTATCTCGTCCTGCGCATATTTGCGTCGCATGCTGCAACTAGTTCCTTCTGCATAGCGGATACCAAGTGGGCGGCATCGACGCCTGGTGCCATTGCCGCACTCCAGACGCTCTCGAAAACGTCGGTATCGAACTCCTTTTGTCTCTAAGAATCGTTTGACTCAAGCTGCTACCCCATGCAGTAGACCATGCATTAAAATCTCCCGCTATTATTATCGGGGATTTGCTTCTAGTCATTAGAGAAAGCTCAAGGAGAAAGTCTTCGAACTCATTTATTGACGCGCTAGGGCTAGCATAGCTACTTACAAGATATATTCCATGTATATTCGCCCATCCGAACAATGAAACGTTAAAAATAACCATCAGCCCTTTCACAAAAAGAAGATCTCTTCCGGCCTTAAGGCCCTAACCCTTGGTGGCAGAGATCTTGAGGTGTCTAAATAAGCTAAATACTTAGGTTTCACACTAGACTCCACTTTACGGTGGAATAGGCATGTGAAGCTAAAATTGTCTTAAGCCACAAAGGTACTCATGGTGTTCAGACGCCTAGCAGACAGATCCTGGGGCTGCAAGCCAAGTATTATCAGGTGGCTGTACGCTATGATCGTGAGGCCTATTGTTATATATGAAGTGGTGGTCTGGACATCGAAAGCATCGCAGACTTCGATAGGTCTTCAACTATCAAAACTGCAAAGACTTGCCTGCGTCTGCGCCTCTGGGGCAATGCGCACTTACCCTAACGCAGCACTTGAGGTCATGCTAGAGCTAACACCGCTCTATCTAGTGATTAAACAGATTCTATGCTGCTCATAACAGCAGAGGGGTATGGAAAAAGGAAGTTAATCGCGTCTCAAAAAATGAAGGTCTTAGATGAAAATACACCACTGGCCCTACTTCCAAGAGACGGCCTAACAAAAGGGTAAACTTAACAAAAAAATTTAAAGTTACTCTCGGCAGTAAGGCGAACTGGAGTGATTCCACACTCGACCCGCTGTTGAGAGACAGCACTATTCAAGGGTATACTGACGTCTCAAAAACACCGGAGGGCATTGGAGCAGGCATTGTGGGACCGCATACCAAGCTTCCCATACCCATGGGATATTTTCCGAGCATCTTTCAAGCAGTAGTCTTTGCCATAAGTCATCTTACAGTAATTAATCTTCAAGGCAACTATCGCTACAAGAGTGCTGTTATACTCAGCGATAGCCAAGCGGCGCTAAAAAATAGCCGGAAATAGTAGAACACCTGATTCTAGATTGCACAGCAATTTGTAGACGCCGGCTCAAGGCCCTCGGTTCTATTTATGTGGACAGGGATCGCATTACCTCAATAGCACCCAGCAGATTTCTGGAGTTCGTCAGGATGCTGGGACTTTGGGAATACATGTGATGGAGGAGTGTTCAAGGCAATGTTGCAATCTCCGAACAAATTGTTCAGATCGGACCACTATAGCATATAGCTGCCATACAATTGCCAATGATTGATCAAAAGTAAGATAATGATAATTTTATACCATTTTATGCTATAAAACATGTTTTTTTCTTGTTTTTGTTTTTTTTTTGCTTGCCAAATTTTGTTCTGAAAATCGTAACTTTAATCATTGTCACCTTTACTCTAGTTATCACTTTGTGTTTTTTATTCAAAAATAAGCTTAAAAAAAGCAATTTATAAACGTAAAATTAATATGTAATTTCTTTTATTTACTTCTATTTTTCGCGCAATGATTTTATATATACAATATACATATGCAAATCTCAAAATAGTTAATTCAAATTAATATATAATATTAAATTATTGAATATTTATAGATTCTAGATGTTAGTGTGAAGCATTAGGCAACTATTTATGTGCATATTTCTGAAGTACTCTGCAATAGTTGAACTGCAATCAGAAATATGCATGTGACCTTTACGTTTTCGCTTTACATACATTTAGTTCTAGCATAAAAAATTCTGCATATTTTACAGAAAATTGTAAATTAAAAATAATATTTGTTGTTTTACCAACTAATTATTGGGAAAATAAATATTCTTAGCAATTTTAACAGTTAATGGCGTAAATCTACTCAAGATCAAAGGACGTAAATGTAATAACAACTTAAAAAACTATACGCGCAGGCGTACAAAGACTTAGTCTAAGTTATTTTGCATGATTTGGAGACGTTAAAAACTATATGCTAAATGCTAAGAATTACAAAAATTTCAAACAACCGAAATATTTGCAATAACTGCTGCTGCCTATGGTGGGCAAACAAATAATTACCCCTTACGTGTTCGTTGTGTTCGCACTTTCCAACAAGTTATCGGCCAAGTCGCTCAACAGCTCGGGTGTAGCGGCTTGCGTTATTGGCGCTTTTCCAGCTTGCATGTCGGCAGCTGTGCTAGTTACCTCAGTGTTGGTGTTTGTTTCGGCCTCAGGCAGTTGTGCTTTCTTCATCAGTAACATTTCGATTTCTTTTTCAACATCGATTTCGGGCTCATTTAATTCAACCGCGTTAGTTTCGCTCTCAGTAGCTGCTTTAATTGCGCACGCTACCAAACCACTCTTGGTGGTCGCCTCGCGTCTGGCAGCTAACACATCGTCGGATGCCGCGCTTTCTGTTGGGTTTTTCGTGATAACAGCGTGTTCATTTGTAACCTCGGACACTTTTCCGCTTTGCTTTATGGGCGAATCTTCCGAGTCGGCCACATCAGATTCGTCGAACACAATTGGTTCGATAATGTCGTCGGCAGACGCGTTATCAACGCTGCTAGCTGTGTCTGGTGAAGCCATTTTAGTTTGTTGTTGTTCATTCTTCTCAATTTCTTTCTGCTTTTCACTCGCCTGCAATCCCTCAATCACACGCTTAGCGCACTCGCTTACGGTTTCCATCTTCGTTTTTGTACACTTTTCGTTGCTATCGTCATTGCTGTTCGCCGTGTTCTCGTCGATGACCACTTGCAGTGACTGCTTCTCACTGCTGCTATTGCCTTCAACTTCGATAATCAGCGATTTCTCTTTGCCTTCATCCTCGTCATCCATGACAATTGTATATTTTTCGCCATTACCGTTATTCTCAACCTCAACACATTTCTGCGCTGGCGATTTTTCGCCATCCAACACTATTTCGGTCTCCTTACCATCATCAATGGAACTCTCTAAATCTACCGTTAGTATTTCCATATCACCAGAATCATTCTCATTTCCAGCTTCATCACTCTCGTTGAGCTCCTTTGTGTCGGCATCGTCGGTACTTTCAGCCACTTCCAATTGCTCTTCTGTACTTGCCACGCTCTGCGCTTCGTTAGCGCGCATTTCAGTCTTTGACTCATTTTCGTGCTGTTGCAGCATATCTCTAGCGAATGGGTATTCTTCTTCGGCCTTCTTCAATGATATGGCGCATTTCATTTTCAGTTTCAAATCGTTACGTTTCATCTCTTCCAAGCGCTCGCGTTCAAGCATCTCCTTCTGCTTCAACAGCGTCGGATTCGGCTTGTTGGTGGTTTTCTTGCGAGGCTGTTTGCGTTGTTGTTGCTGCTCGCCACCATCTGAGTCCACTTCCAGAAGACTAACGAGAAATTTCTTAGCCGCTGACATCATATCGACCTCTTCCATTTTATTATTATCATTGGGCCTTTTGATGGTAATGGTGTTGCTGTTGGAAAGCGACGGCAGCTTAGTCAAACTCGGCACTGGTGTAGTAGGCACAATTGTAGTGCCTTTGGGAAGCGTCAGTTGTTCTTTTAATATCAGTTTTTGACGGTTATCCTCTGGGCTGATATGACACGCAGACTTGCTGCTGGGTGCAGTGTTAATGATCGTAATTAATTGTGGTGTTTCAGGCGTGTCGGTTTGTTTGGCTGGCTCTTCGTCTTCATTGTCCGAGTCAAGCGTAATTGTGTCCGTTTTAGGTTCCACAATCTCGATTTCATTATCCTCATCGTCACTAGCTTGTTTATCTGTTGGGTGAGGGAAGAAAGAGATATTAGTATACAAATTTAAGAAATTTATACAATTTAAACAATAAAATTTTTTTATTAAATTTTTATAACCTCACTTTATGTTATAACGCATTTGCGCATAAAAAGGCAGTTTTGGATTTGTAGCGCAAAATTTCATTCATTATTATTTAATTTATGAATTACTAAATTTATTTTCACATATAAATATAACTTAACTAATGAATTGTTAAATTACAAAATGGTTTCGCACTTAAATACACAAAATAAATATTAAAAAACAAAAAAAAAATGTGTAGCTGCTTAATAAATGAAGTATTTTTAGCATATCATAGCTTAATACATATATTTTTTATAACATGATGACTATAATTTCGCATATTTTTCGTACTAAATATAAAAAAAAAATATTTTCAACAATTTTGTTTGTTTTTCACAATTCTTGTGTGTTTACTGCTTTGATTTTTTGCAATTTTTTTTTTAACAAATTTCATACTTCTATACCATAAATGGCACTGACTAATTGAAAAAATGCTTAAGTGCACTAAATTATAACTGTAGTAATATCAGCAAACACTTTCAAATGCCAAAAACAAATAAATAGAACTTATTTGGACTTTAGTGTTATAAAAATTATTATAAAATCTTAGCATACTAATACTTAACGCACACTAATTTATTAAAGTTAAAAAATGTTTAATATTAAATAGAGATCTATTGCGCTTATTATAGTAGCGGTAATTAATCGAGGAAAAACATTTCGTCCACTGGTAAACTTCGGCAATATTTTGGCAAGGGTTTATCCTTCGGGAATGTAAAACGTTCGCGCATATAACGCTTATAGCTAAACAGAGCCAGTTGCCAACGCATTTTAACCGTTGAAACGTTACCTAAAAACAAGTATAAAAATTTTGCACTATTATATATATATATATACTTATTATATAAGGCTTTTCTTACGTTTAAAATCCTTTAGTTCACTGGCAATGTACTGCCAGTACTTTGAGCGCAACACTTGATCGTAGTAATCGACATTCAATTTATCCCACAACAATGGATAACGCTGCACAGCACGCACCAACTGCAGCATGAATTCCTTATCGTCCGGTTCGTCCTGCAAACGGCTGTCGTTCTCCGTCACCTCTTGCATAAAATCAATATCGATATTTTCTAAATGCTCATTGCGTAAATCTTCTTCGACAATTTTGTAGAGAAATGATAATTTTGCCAAATATTTTGAATATTTTAATTCTAAATTAGCGCGCTTGCTTTCGCTCTTAATCGTTTTTAAACGGAAGGACTTGTACATTTCATATAAATGCGACCAACGATCCATTATATCTTCGCAATTTAGATCTGTAACCATAAAAGAACAATGAAACTAAGTAATATAGCTCCACAACGTCGATGCAGCGGACACAAACCATTTAGCATACTACTTTGGGAGCGCAAACTCCGCCATAAGTGCATCCAGAGCGAGTTGCGCGACTGCACATCGATGGAATTGTACTGTGAATCGCCAGATTTGCGCCATAACACCGGATTACATTTGACGAAATTGATAATTTTCAAATCCAAAGCGCGCACTTCTAACGCTTGCACTTCCAACGCTTTTACACCACTCGACGTTTCGTAGTCTTCCGCGTCCGCAACACTATCATCATTATTCCAATCATGTAATTTGTCGTCTTTTAGTGTGCTCTTTTCGATGACGGTGGGCTTTTTATGTTCAATGTGCTGTGCTTCATCATCGTCACTGCCACAGTCCACTTCCACCCATTGGTCTTCTGGCAGATCGCGATTGGCGAGAAAGTTCGTTGTCTTATCGAAATAACCGTTGAAGCGTTTACCATCGCGTATGCGTCGCTCCACGCGCACATAGCGTTTACGTATATTCTTCCAGCGCAACTTTATATTCTCGGTGCGTTTAAAGTGTGCCGCTACGATGCGCCAGTACTTGCGCGTCACCTCGAAATTACCATAGTCGGGATGGCGTGTACACCAAATTGCCGGATATTTCTCAATGAGTCTGGCCAGTTTGCGATCGCGTGCATGTGTTTGCTCCTCCTGGCTCATGTAATCCTCAGTGCCATAATGTGCTTTGTTGCTGTAGCGTAGCGTTTGCTGTTGCTGTGCGACATATTGTTCGAAATCAGCGGCGCCATCAGCGTCAGCATCGTTCTCCTCATCATCGCCATCGGCATCGGCAGTGGCATCCACATCCTCATTGGCAGTCATATCGACACCGTCGTCATAATATGTTTGATTCGTTGGCTCGTCCAGTGTATTTTTCATCCAACTATTATCGCCAATCTCGTCATTTTCACCATAATCCTCGTCGTCGTCACCATCGGCGCCGCCGCGCTTGAGCTGCCCCAGTGGCATAAGCGGTGAAAGTGGCGGTTTCTTATCAACGCCTTCGCCATTCTCCATATTCGCATACAAACTTTTGCGATATTCATACACTTGATTGTGGAAACTGTTCGCGCTGGTATTGAAGAGATCTATATCTTCAAGTTGACCGTAACGGACATAGTCGACGCCTGAAATATCAATTTTTAAAATTTATTTTTAATGCAAGTAATTCATTTTAATTTAATGTTTATTTGATGCTGCAACAAATGCTATCGAGTTGCGAATTTCATTGCCTTCAGACATTTTGCCAACACATGGACCACTCATTACAAACCGCGCTAATTTTTTGAGTTTACGATTGCTTGGAATATATATGTATATATATAACATTTGATATTTACTTCTAAAATTTACGGGAGGACTTTGTGGAAAGTATGTAGTACGTCAGTTATCCAGACGGTAACAAACTGGAATTGTCTCTCCGCTATGTATTATATGGTTCTGAAGCAACATCATCTTGCTTGTTTACCCATATAGATGTATAAAATGTTAGCTTTGGTTCCCAAAAAGGTTGAATGAGTTCCAATTATTAGTATACTTTTAGGCGCACAAGCTTGAGACTACAATTTTTTTATCTAATAAGATTTTGAAGCACTTTTACACCATTTTATGTTACCAAGACATATTTTTAATGATGCATTAACGAAAGCTAATCTCTAAAAATCTTTCCATATCAACTCAGTAATCAGCTTAATTTATATTAGTTTGGCTATTTCCTAAATTTATATGAACGAAACTTTAGATCTTTACAATAACTCCGTTACCTCAACATTTCATTTCATTGAATTGACCGATTGTTGTTATTTCTCTGATAAATTGAAAATGTAGTCCATGTCAAAACTCTTCGTGTGTGAAGCTTTAGCGAATCCCGAAGAGTTGCGTCGCTGAAAGTCAATGAAATTGAACTCGAAACGCATCAAACATCCGCTATTGTTTCGTACTTACATTTCTGTTTGCATTGCACCGAACATTTGTGCTCATATTTTCACCTTTTTCACACTAAATATTTAAAACGCAGTCCATGTGCACAACAAATGACTCAAGACAATGACTAAGTGATTAGCCTTACGCGTTTCAATTCGTTTATATACTAAATTTTGTTTTTTTTTCAGTTTCTACTATATACTTAGTTTAATTTAAAAGTTCGAATAACGGTTTTTAGTAATAGAAAATCGTTATTTTAATTTCGATATTTGTTTCTCAAATAATAAAATATATGTTTCTATATTTATTCAAATTTCCATATAAATTAGATTTAGGCATTCGAAAATAGAAATTAATTTTCGAAAATCAATTTCGAGATTTGATTGTCGAAAAACATTTTAACCATGAAATTTAATTTTTCGAAAAAAATTTCATATTCGAAATTAGCATTTTGATTTTCGGAGTTCATTTCGAAAAAATATTAATGCTACGTTCTTTAGTACTTAACAATATTTCTACATACAGATGTAACATATATCGAATTTTGCATAACCACATACCTGCCGCCAACTGTCCGTTTTCCAGGCTATCCGCATCATTAACGAATCCCAATTGTCGCATATCACCCAAACATTTATCCTGCAATCCCTTAAAACGCCCAATCGCGTAAGTCAACAGATATGAGAGATGTATGTAGAGTTCTTTGACTTCAAGATAATTGCGCGCCTGTTTGTAGGCATTCGAGTTGGTCAGTGTTTGCACTTTACCAGTAAGATGTTGGCAAATCTCCATGGCATTGAAGACCTGATCCTGTAACTGGGAGCGCGCTTGACCGATGGCAGTGTCGGGAAAGACGTGACGCACCATGACCGGTGTACGTACTGCAGTTGCAGAATTAACCGTTGCAGGCGTAGCTGTTGGCGCAACAGGCACACCATTAATCAATTGTATTTGTGTACCTCGAATAGCACCATTTTGACCGCTAACCGGCGTCACAGTGGTATTACTATATCGTATCATTTGCGGTTGTTGCATTGAATTTTGTTGATGTTGTTGCGATACTGAATAATATGTTCGGGCTGGGGTTATTTGTACAGGGCGACCACTTGCAGCATGTTGTATAGCTGTTATAGGGCTTGCCTGGCGCATCCAAGCATTACTCGGCGATGGAGTAGTAGTAGGTTGTGGTTGATTTGTACCCTGGCGTTTCACCTGTATCAGTTTGCCATTGGGCAAACGGAATGTTTCTTGTTGGGCTGCCGAATTTAGATCGATACGATAACCATTGATAGTGTGATAAACAGGCGTATGATTTCCGGTTATTGGCGCATTTCGTGCACCTATAATTGTACGCCGTACAATTGGTGCAGGCGAGGGATGTCGGATGGGTATGCCGGTGTTGCGTAGTACCAATGGTGGTGGAGTGTTATTGTGTGGTTTCAAGGTAATGCCACTACTATTCGGTGAGTGCGTTTGTAATGATATAATTTTCGGTGTTGATGTAATGGGTGAAGGTGCTGGCCGTGTCTTCTGTTGTACAGTAATTTGACAATCCGGCTCCAACATGCTCAGCAAATCAGGTGTACAAACAACTTCATCATTTGAATTTTTCATACGTTTGGCAGGGGGTGCTTGTGGATGACTACCTGGCGATTTTGAATGCTTTTTTGTGCTAGAACTGCTTTGACTGCGTCGAGATGTTGCAGAATCTAAACTTTCCATAGAATCGGACATGTTTCCACATTTCGATTTGGCAAGACGGCAGCACGTTGAACGGTCCTGTGACAGTAGCGCTCTTTTTTCAGTTTCATTAGTGTGATTCACTTCGATATACCTGAAAATTAAAAAAACATTATTAAATAAGTTTATAATTGTAGTATATAAATTATAACAAACAAAACTCACTTCTTTTGTTTCTCTATGTAACGTATTAGCGCCCAATGTTGTGCACGCAATGGCCAAAGTATTTTCGGTGCGCAGCTAAAGCAATTCCAATTTTCGTTCTGTTCAATATCTACTACCACACCGCGAGACAAGTTCTTAACTATACATGATTTACAAAATACGTAGGGACAGCTTGAGCAACAGTAAACTTCACCACCTTGGCCACACCAACGACAATACAGTTCTGACCCATCTTCGCCTTTACTGAATTCGCCGCTGTTATAGAAGTCGTGGCATTTCAAGCAGTGTGTTACACGCAACACCGGATGCATGCGGATATTCTCCTCTTGGTTCGGTGCTGTACCGATATGAGTCTTACAGACAGTGCAGTGCACCTTGCGTTCACGCACCAGATCTACAGAGGGATATGCCCTGAGATAGAAACGTCGTTCTTCCTCGGATAAACTGGCATCAAATTCGATATTTTCTGCAAATCAAAAAAGGATTTTAATTATAAGCGATATTAATAAAATAATAAACATATGATCTATTTGCATATACTTTTATATGTCTATGACCTATTCACAATGGTCCAATTTGGGATGCTTTGATATTTTTTACAAGTATTACTTTTACGTTTATGATAGAATAATGAATTAAATTTATATTGTATATATTATACATAAATATTTTATAATAATTAGCTTTATTTGGTTTTTTTAGAATTATGAAACATAAAATGCTTTATTACATTCACCAAGTTATGAGGAACGCCGGTCAGAACACATTGCCCGTTAATAAAAAACACATACGCTGAATATGTCAAAAGATACTACGATGTTCAGTACTGAGCAAAAAAAAACTGCACCATACTACTTTCATTTATAAAGTTGAAGAAAATTTCGGGGAGAGTACGAATTCCGTGGCGCCGCGATTTGACGATGGATTTGACTTAATTAAGCCAGAAAAAAACGAAAATGACGAATAAAATTTTTCGATATCGCGCTTCGTTTTCGAGATATCGATACTTGAATTTTGAAAAATTTGGGTATATGTATAGTTTAGGTCCCCCAACTAAGGAGGCCTCAAAAATGAATTTTTTTTTAAATCGTCTTATTTTTACGCGTAGATTACAAATCCGTGAGCGGAAAGAGATTTTTTCACTATTTCTATTTTTTTTTTTTAATTTATTCAAAAAAAAATTTAAAAAAAAAAACGTTTCTTTATTTTTTTTATAAATATACATTAAAAATAAAAAATTGTGATACATTAAAATTAATTGTTCTTTTTTTCTTTGAAAAAATTGAGAGCAGCGACAAGGAGTTTGACGCGATTGAATTATGTAAACCCCAGTTTTGGACCGACCAGGGTTATTTTTTTGAAGCGCGGCTGAAGGCCGCCTGTGCGGAAAGGAGTTCAACGATCTTCGATATTCGTCCTCACCATCAGATTACAGCTAAGTGATCTGAATTCTACAGAATTTCGCCGCTACAACAACAACAACTAAGTGACTTGAATAGGTGATATGTGCAAAGTGTGTTAAATAAATTTTGAAAAATATACATAAATTATCGAAAAAATTCACTTTCCGCTCACGGATTTGTAATTTACGCGTAAAAATTAGACTATTTAAAAAAAATAATTCATTTTGAGGCCTCCTTAGTTGGGGGACCTAAACTACACATTTTCCCAAATTTTTCCAAATTCAAGTATCGATATCTCGAAAACGAAGCGAGATATCGAAACATTTTATTCATCATTTTCGTTTTTTTCGTAAATCCGTATCGTGCCGCCATTTTAAATATTTATTTCTATATACATTTATAATTTATATTTTTAAGTTACCATATGTTGAAAAATCTCTATATTTTCGAAATTTTAATGTATATGAACATCATTAATCTTGTTATTTACTCTCGAAAAGGTATTTCTTTTCTTCGACCTTTCCCAGTAAAACGAGATATGATATATTTAAAAACTATCGCCCGATTTTTTTCCACATCACTGTACATTATCTATGCACACAAGTATGACAAGATCAGTAATTTCTCAGTCCCTAAAAAAAATCAGGGAAGTTTTTATGGAATTTCGATTGTAATTTGTCAAAATTCGACAACATCGAAGATTTAATACATTTTAACAGCGCCATCTCTCGCAGATATTTGATGAACTTAAATTCGGACGGAAGACAAGATTAGGTTTACGTCTTCGATAAATATGGCGATGGTATCTCTTCGTGATTGATACGCGAATGCTTGGAGCCGAAATACAACTCTACGAAAGCGGTTTAAATATTTGCTCTATGGACATTGGCAACAGAAATGTATAAACTCCGGCACTGACCATGCTGCCACGTAAATTAAAAGCAAATATATATGTCTCATAATATATTAAATAATAAAATTTCGTTTGAAAAAATATTAATACAACTGGATGATTTTAAATACAATGCAAAATTAAGTAATATAATAATTTCTTTGATAATGAGCATAACACTGCAATTAAACTAGTTTTACTTATGTAATTTATGGGTGGATTTAAAATTTTAACACCAAAAATTTAACATACATTTTAAATGCCAAGCCCAGCGAATGTTGGGTTCACATCCACAAACCATGGTAAACTTTTAGGCATAAATCAAAACTAAAACTTAGAAACTATTTAGATTTCTAATGTTTTCATAATGTTGATAGATAAAAAAAAAACATTACCGGCTTTTCTATTATATTTAAAGTAAATCTTTACAATAAATTTATGAACCCACTATAAGGCATCTATGCAACCAATAATATTTCTGGCAACACTACTTACCATCATTGTCGTTGTTGGAAGATGCCTGCGTCAGGGCTGGCGTTGATGCGGTTGTAGTTGCCTCCATCTCGATGTAACACGTCTAGGTTATGTTCTGAGCACGAATAACGCTATAATCCTTTGCTGTGTAGTCCCTGCACACAATCTAGTTAATTATATCAATTGACCAGCCGAAAATCACTCTTGACGAACACTTTTTCAATAATCCACAACGCCAGGTACACGCTGCTGTTCACACACTGATCGACATATGCATGAAACTGCTGCTTAACAATCACACCAATTTTATCACTATTCTTGCCTGTATGCTCACAAAGCAAATGTGCTTTAAAACACATTCACACACATACAATCATGAACACAAATTTATTATGGTTAATTGTTTGTTTAGTAATTGCAAATTTCAAAAGTAAAATTTAATTGAAAATCTGCAAAATTTTCTCTGTACACTACACAACTTGACACCACTCACTTCGGATTCAATATGGCGACGAATTTTTGCTTTGTCGTACGAAATATTTATTTTTTTTCATTGCTGTGTTCGGCTGACTTGCTCGACAGCATTCGCATCGTTGCTTAAATTGCCGGTCATGTGCTGGAAGAAGTCAGAAAACCGGGTGCGAGCGAGTGAGCGTATACGAAACGTCATTGTACCGAAAGCATTCGTGAACCGTTCGTGTGTATTTCGGTTTACCCGCCATATTAACACACCATCGGACCACCAGCAGGTAGTCGGTGAAGGTAGAACTGCACGCATTAAATTTAGTATACAGAAAGGAAAAGTGGATCCAATAAAAATCGACTTCTGACCCAACAATTAAGATATATTGGTAAGTAAACAGGAATGTATATATATATATATACATATATCATAGTATTATATATAGTCCTAATATAGGCATTAATTAAGTATACATAAGGGAAAAATGGACTCACTAAAAATTGAAAAGTCGGCTTCTGATCCGAGAATTGAGATATATTTGTAAGAAAATAAACAGGTATGTACATATATATATATATATATAATACATACATACATACATATAAATATTTTAGATTTTATACCACTATATACACCCGAACATATGATACATACATATATGTAGTTTGTATATATATAATTGTTCAAAAAGATTTCTTTTGGATAGATATGGCATACAATTTTAATACTCTGCAATTAATTCCATATAAAAAAATATATACATACATACATATACGTAAATGCAAGAAACATTAACCGATGCCTCTTTATTCCAGAAAGTCATGGCTACTGACAAATACATACATATGTATGTACATATGTATACCATATATCTAGCCCATATCATGTAAATATCGCTCCTGTAAAATCCTTAACTTCAAGGAATAATAAAAGAGCCTTTAACTAGTAACATTTCCATCGGCAGTCGGGTTTACGTAAGTATTTGGAACCCATATGAATAAATTGTTCTTTTATATAACTTTTTGAATATGTCCCTACGAATTTAGAAACGATCATCATACTTATCAGCATTTCTAAAGAACGTTATTACTCGCTAAATTTATTATGCATAAAATTTACTGTTAACCGTATTTATTAATATCAGCAAAAGCAACCCTGTGTCCAGTTTTCTTCTAGTGGCGAACTCAGTATTCCAAGATTTTCGACAATTTTGCAAACATATATAATTTGTTGTTTTTATAGCAGCATTAAGTATTTGCAAATCAGTGTTTACGAATGATACGGCTATGATATTCCTTATCCGTATCCGTTTGGGTTATGTAGTCCTCTCGGTAAACGGTTTGCAGGCTCATTCACATGGAACTTTCGCTTCGCTTTTTTTCGTCAGACATTTGCTTTGACACAACCGTATGCTGTTGAACGAGTTCGTTCACACCGAAGCGAAACGGACCAAGATGAAGCAAATTGTTGGGCAACTCTCATATTTTTACGCTTTACAATTTTTATTAGAGAGAAACACCGAAAGCAAAGCATTCATTCTGTCGTTGTTGTTGTTGTAGCGGCAGAATTCTACCGAGTTGACAGTCTTTGGCCGGAATAAATCCGGGTCCGTTCCGGTTACGTAGACCCGACTGTCGTGGGAACGGCATTCATTCTGTCTTACTCTTTGCTTTCTTCGTATCTTTGTTAAAATATGAATTGACGAAAGCGAGGAAAGTTGTATATGAATGGGCAGAAAGGGATGAACGATCTCATGTTCAGGAGAGTTTCGTTAGAATTGTCAATCGGGCCTTAAGAAACTCATAGAAACTTTAGCAGAAATCTCTTGTAGCGTTGTTGGGTAATTAACCGGTGATTTAACTGATAGGTGGCTTGCAGCGGAGAGTATGACATGAGCTACCGTGAATGATTTATTTAAAAAAAATTGCTTGAGATTACACTATTATGTTATCATACGGGACAATATTATTTTGTTTATTATCTATACAAGTGTAAATAAAGCCTTCTACAAGTGTAGAGTTGTTTACTAGACAAGTAATTATTGTGTCCCAAAAAAGTTCGCTACTGTGAATGATTTACTCGTAAAGAAGAAATATTCTTTTATTTATTATTTACATATGTATTCAGAAAAGCGCTAAAGTTTAGGTTTTAATTTAAGCAGTTAAAATACTATTTCTATATTTATAGCCGATATTATATTTCTTGGTAATAAATATTACACATTTTAAAGAGAAGTAAAACAGCGTATCTGTTTCCATAATTAAATAAATAGAGTTTATTTCGTTTAGTTGTGCAATTTATTAATAATTTTATTAAGAGAGCTTGTACTAAATTCATTCATATCTATGTATGTATATACAGTAAATCACGCTTAATTACCGAACCCGTTTAAAAACCAATATTTATGGGCTTAGTTCTGGCATCGAAGGAAGCGGGCTTTAAGTACCTCAGAAGCAAAAAGATTTTCCCTATGGTATTTATGCAGGGCTTACTGTGTGTGTATACGTACGTGTTGTTGTAAAATATTTAAAAAATGCATTTAACATTGGAAAGATAATAGAACAAATGCACAAGCTGGGACTCTTCTAGTTTCAGTTGCTATTAAAGCATGAATGAATGACTTTACTCTGTAAAGTGAAATTTAAAAATGAACAATGTTTATTTTTATAAACCAAAAACCAAGCAAAGTAAATATAATAATATAACTAGACGCTAAATTTGTTGTTTCAAAATTTTCGCAGACATATCGTCTGGGGGAACAGGATCATCTGAAACTGATGCAATCGCAGCGTCGCTGATATCAGATTGTTTTCGCAAAAAGTTAGTTGACCCGGTAATTAATGATTTATATGAAATACATATGTTTTTGTAAATGTTTAATATGCATTTATTTGTGAAGGTATTCACGGAAAATACGCGGAAGGCAACCACACAAATAAAGAACATCAAGAGTCACGAGCACCAAACCTTTTCAGTCCTTCATCCCATAAAACTTTGCCCCAAATGGGACACTTGTTTATGCGCTTCACTAACATTTATGTCGCTTTGGCGCATTTAATTTATATGCATCCGTCCCCAATAATCCTTGCCTAAATGCCATGTCGATGCGAGCTGCCGGGCATTGACCGGACCTTGATCGCTTTTACATTGAGTTCTATCATTTCTCGAAATTCAATATTTTTCTTTAAAATTTCTCCTTAATCTAATAAGGACGAAACCGTCGACGACATCCTTACTTTTGTTACAAACAAGATATTTTTTAATTGCAATGTCGTCGAATTGTATTGTACAGATCCGTTCGTGATCGCACACGAGATTCGCGGAATTGAGGTTGGAGAAAACATAATTCGAATTTCACATACTAAAATCTTCAACACCTACCACCAAACATTGATATGTTTATAAATTTGTTAGTGTAAATAGTTACTTACCAAGATTTAAAGTTGGAACAGCTCCATCTTTTAATCTCTTAGTCCCTACTGCATAATCCTCAAAATGTATTGCACAAACAAACGTGTTTGAGGGAGCTATCCTCCTTCCTTCGAAGCCCAGATTTCGGCACCACTTTTGTGCAGTTTGTTCGTTTTTCGGCCAAATGAACAAATTGCACATTTTGTTATTGTTATTGCACTCGCGCACACAACATTTCCGAATTCGCGGCATTTTCAAATATTTTAAATAATTAGTTTGTTTCTTTACTGCTAGTAGCTGCTAGCTATCAGGATAAACAATACTGAGCGAATTTAGAAGTTACTCTCACAAAGAGCAAAATAATATATCAAAATTTTGTTTTTAATAATCACATCATAACAACACTTAAATAAATATAAATTTTATTTTCACTATTAAAATAAACGAAATCAAGGCAAATTCGCCAAATATGGCTTGCTTACACATGTGTTTTAACAGCTGTTTTTCATATGGTTTTAGCTATTTTATGCTAGAAGAAATTTCACTGGCTGAAACTGTCAGCTATGCTTTTCTTTCGCTTTCAACTTGCGCTCTCTTCTGCTAGGTTTTTGAGTTAAGAAACGTTTGTTCAGCAAAAACTATTTAGTGATAGCTAGCAATTAAGAAACGAACTTACAATTTTTTAACGATTTTAAATTTCAATTCACTAACCCTTCACTACATTGTTTCTACATATTTAATTTATATCAATTATTTTATTATTTGCTTCGCTTTTTTTTCGTTTGTACGCACAATAACAAAATTGTTCTATGTTGACAAATTTGGAGAATCTCCTCTATCCAACCATACCCCGTTTTAACCATGAAGCGATGGTATACTAAAGCTGACTTTAAAATAGATAATAACATTAAAATTTCCAAACATAATGTAAACCTTTATATGAAACCGAGTGCTATTGTAACCATGAAAGGAATTTCTAAATGAAAAGGAATGTCAAATTCGTACGTGAATTGTTACGAACAAGAACTCAAAGCGATTTACTGAAGCCTTTTAACATAGTATAATCCTACTAGTATCAAAAGAATCAGCTATTGTATCATACTATATATATATATATATATATATAATCAGGTACACTTCATGGATAGTAACTACATTGATAGTATAAGTCGAAATAATCACCAAAAAAAAACCAAAATAAATATATGTATAAAAAAGGTCAGTTTCAGATTATCAAAAAGTCGTAATAAAATTTTTTTGCTTATAGTGCACTTTACTAGAACATTATTCAAGTCTTAGAATAGTGGAAAAGCTCCCTCAACTAAAAAAAGAAGCAAATTGCTTGAAATTGTAATATTTTTTTTTATCCCTGGTTACGATATGCTCTTGTTTATTACCAATACATGTATGTTTATAAATCCTTCCACCGGTGTAGTCTTGTTTACTAGACAAGTAATTATTGTGAGCTCCATATGTGCTCACTACTGTGAATGATTTACTCATAAAGAAGAAGTAAATTGCGTGAGATTGTAATATTTTGTTATCATACGGTATAATATTATTTTGTTTATTACTTATATATATGTATACAAAAAGGATTTAAATTTTTGATTTTAGTTTAAGTAGTTAAAATACTATTACAACACCTATACACGTTATTATATTTCTTTGAAATTAATTATACTATATTTTAAAGAGAAGTGACACGGCGTATTTGTTTGTATAAGCAGGTATCCAAAGCTTATTTCGTTTAGTTGTGCATTTCATAATTTAATTTAGAGAGCTTATACTATTCGTGCATACATATGTATGTATGTATTTTAAAATTACATTTAACATTGGAAAGATAATAGTATAAATGCACAAGCTGGGACTTTTCTAGTTTCAGTTGCTATTAAAGCATGAATGAATGACTTTGCTGTAAAGTGAAATTTCAAAAATACCCAATGTTTATTTTTATAAACCAAAAATCAAGCAAAATTAAAATGTCATACATATTGATATTCCCCTGAAAAAATAAAAAATAATATTAATATAAATAGCAACTAAATTGGTTGCTTCGAAATTTTCGCAGACATGTCGTCTGGAGGAGCAGGATCCTCAGCAACTGGTGCAGCCGCCAATGACTTTTTTGGCTGGGATTTGCTATACAAAACAATTGAAAATACTGTTGATAAAAAGTCTGATGTATTGATTGCACTAGCGCACTTTTTGCTTGTGAAACACTATAAGATGCAATGCATCGGCATTGGAGAAGATGTAAGTAATTTAAACTTCATGTTTTGTTGTTCAATTATGTTTCACATTTTCGCTTCTTTTTCAAAGAAAACTATTTCAACAGAAGATGTTGGTTCTGAACTTTTACCTGATGGTTGGAATGATCGAGGCAAGAGATACGCCTTGCGTTATTTACACAATGGTCGATTGTATCTTCTAATAGGACATAATACAGAGGATTTTATTACTATGAATTTACTCGATGTTAAGGACACCAAGGTAACTAATATAACTCTAAATCCACAAGAATGGATAAAACAGCTTAAAGGACCGCTAAACACAATGATGCCTGAAGCGTCGTTAATATCAGATCGTTATCGCAAAGAGTTAGTTGACCCGGTAATTAATGATTTATATGAAATACATATGTTTTTGTAAATGTTTAATATTTATATTTATTTGTGCAGGTGTTCACGGGAAATACACGAGAGGTAACCACACAAACAAACGTAAATCAAGAGTCACGAACACCAAACTTCCGCGATCCACTCGCAATAGGCGGGCCGATGAGACCTGGCGGGTGAGTTATATGAGTGAATTAAGATATGCATTTCCGGACGGATGTCTGTAATTGTGTCTTTGTGTTTTTGTTTGATACGTCTGCATTTACATCTTATAGTAGGGCAAAGTGCAATTTTCAGGACGTATTGTTAGTAATACTTGTAGAAAATTAAGAGAGTTTGTCTATATTTGACATTAATAACGTTCATTTAATAAATTATTTAAAAAAAACTTAAATCATTAAATAAAAAAATAAAAATAATATTGTATGTACCAGAATATTGAATATCGTTTTTTGGCAAATCATCAATTTGTGGAAAGACAGCCGACAGCCGAGTCAGCGTTAGGTTAACTATTCATAATTTACATTATTTATTTCAAGTAAAACTGTAATCTCAGCTCTCAGTCATATGCCGCAAAACTATTTATATTGCTTATTTTGCGGTTCGATTCGCAGTAAGAACAAAAGCTTTTCTTGGTCGAGTGGTATTTTCGATGATAAAAGCTTGTATGTGTATATTAAAACTATAAACTCTCTTCTAAAACACGCTTTAAACTCTTCAACTTATATCGTATTTTCATAACAAACAGGTTGTTAACCCTTAAATAAAAATGTATATAATTTATCATGCACTTTTTATTACAATTCAAATTTTTTATTTTCACGAGTATCAATATTATCATCATCTTTGAAATCAATTTTTAAATACTGCACTAAAATACTTATCAGTCTTTGTTAATAACTATATATTTTTGATACGCACGGGTTAATTTAATGAGATGGCGTAAGCAATCAAGAAGAAATGTTCAGTTGTTTTTAAGTTCTCAAACAAAGCGTGAGCTGAAAGTATTTACATAATATATTTACACCCACCATTAAAAACAATAAGTTTTCCTGCCTTAAAAAATTTTGCTAAAAAATCTCTAGCATGCAAACTAATAACATAGTGCGCATAGTAATATTATTGCTTTGCTCAACTGTTTCTGTGAAGTGTGTATAAACTGGCGTTTTTATAAAAATTTTCATTTCAATTTCCAATAATTGTAATATTTTTTGCAGTTCTTTTCGAATGGAGCCTCGCCCGTTTGGCTTTCCCGACGTTGGACGTGGCGACTTAGATCCTTTGGGTCGCGGTGGTCCTGGTAATCTCTTTCCGATGCCTTCACGTCCCGATTTTAATGCCGGTCTGAATCCGCGTTACGATCCCGTTGGTCCAGACGGACGTATTCTGCGTGCCGAACCCAATCCGGATCATCTGCAACCACCAAATTTCGGTTTCGACTACTACATGTAATAATGAAAATGCCAAAAAGCATATGAATTATTTTAAATATTCATAAAGGATGTAATTAGGTTAAATAATTGTTGGTTAAAGCCTATTCTTTTGATAGTTGCAAACTGTTTAATTCAAGAGCGGACTTTAACATGTGCCTTTAACGCACTTCGAACTACATAAAACTGAATGATAATAAGAATTTAGGTTACTATAATAAATAATAAATAAATAAATGTTAAGGGATAATTTGCAACTTTGCTTGAATGAGTCTTAACCATTGATTAAATAACCGAAAAACGAAAAGAAACAACAATTAATTTGTATTGGTAATTTTTATATCGATTTATCAACTGTAAGACAATACTTAAATCAAATTATGTGGTTTAATATTTGAATTGCATTTGAGTAAAATTATATTATATTTATTATTCAATAAAATAGTTTGGTTATAGTACACCTGGAATTAGGAATGGAATTTCATTTTAAAATCTTCACGAGTGTTCAATGCGAGTTGTTACACAATTGTTGTGCAATTCTTATCTGCGCAACGTTTAGAAAACTAAAACTAGAACGTTCACAGTATACAGCTTTAAGATCGTGTCGACATATTTGATGTGTTAACAGAATTTTTATTCTTCGGTTACATAAAACCGAACTGTGTTCGAAAACTTAATGATAGCCGTAGCTTTTACGAAGAGTTTCCAGCTTTGAAGTTCATTAAGATAAAACAAGAAAAAACTTTAACTTTAGTTGTAGCAAAGCTATAAATGTAAGACGATGTGCTTTTCCCGTAGATCTGTGCACCCCTCTTCTTATGTAATTAAACACCATATTCTGGAGCAAGTTTTTAACTATGTTGATTTGGGAGTTAATATGGACCCTAAGCTTAAATTTAGCCTTCATATTGATACCATGGTCTTGAAAGCAAAACCTGTCCTCAGTTTTGTTAAACATTGGTCTAAAGAATTTAGAGATCCGTATATTACTAAAGCATTTTATACAACTTTGGTTAGACCTATATTGGAATGTTGCTCTGTTGTTTGGAAATAACCTAACCCTAACTACCAAATCCATTCTGACAAGTTAGAGTCTGTTCAAAATCAATTTTTACTTTTCGCCTTAGCGCATTTCCGATGGGATTCTAGGGTAAGTCTACCTCCATACCTAACCTAACCTAACCTACACTTTGTAGTCGTAGGGAAATGCTTGGCATAATATTCTTAGTGAAAATCTTGAATAGAACAGTTTGCAGTTCTTTTCTCCTGTCTGAAATTAAATTTAATATCCCGTTTCGCTTTTCGAGGCAGTTTAGACCTTTACTGTTAAAATCCTGTAGATCAAATTTCGAACTAAACGAGCCATTCCGCCGTATATGTCATGATTTGTATTCTCATTCCTGCGCATTTGACTTATCTGACTCGCTTTTCAAAATTAAAAAGAATTTATTTTGCTTTCTCTTAATAAAAAAAAAATAAAACAATTTATTATATCGTAGCTATAAATCTTAGCTGTTGAAATTTTTGTTTCTGTAGCTGAGCATTTTTAGAGATTTTCTGACTCGGCTAATTCCGGACGTATGCGGATTGCGCCCCTCGCTTTGGTTGGGCGGGAGGAGGGTAATTGTTGGGTTATTATTATTATTATAATACCCTTCACAAATACAAAAGTTTCCATACTAGAACTTGATTTTGATCGGTTAGTTTGTATGCCAGCTACATATTTTAATGGTCCAATCTAAACATTTTAATCTTAGATCTTACGTTGCCTTAGACAATAATCTTTTCCGAATTTCGTGTAGATATCTTGTCAAATAAAAGAGTTTTCCATAGAAGGACTCGATTTTGATCGATCAGTTTGTATGACAGCTATGCTATATGCTATAGTGCTCCGATATCGGTTAAGACAAATGAGCAGTTTCTCGAGGACAAAAGGATGTGTGCCAAATTTCAGATCGATACCCCAAAACCTGGTGGATTTCGCATATATACAGACAGAAAGATAGAGGTACATGGCTAAATCGACTCAGCTCGACACGCTGATCATTTAACTATATATTTTATAGCGGTTTCGACGTTTCCTTCAACACGTAAAGCCTTAAACGCGTTTCTGTCGAAACTGTATTTTTGAAATCCGTACTTGGATTGTCGAGCAAATTATGTACGTTTTTTAATTTGCTTCAAGAAACCCGACTTCTTGGAATCACCCTCTCCGGTAGAAGTTTTCTTGTAAGGTCATTTCAAAAATTAACCCAGCAATCGCTATTTTTTTTTCATCGAAATATCATTTTTAATAAAGCCTAAATAAAGAAATTCGATTCCTTTTTCTTTACTCTAGCTAATTTGCTTCATCCACTTTCAATTTTAAAGGGTATAAAAAACTGCTGTAGATACTCATAGGAACACAGGCATAAAGAAAAATTTTTTTTTGGACTTTAGACCATTTTAACTCGAAAATAATCGAAAATGTTTGCAAAAAAATCCAATTTCAGGAAGCCTCTGTTTTATGGTTAATGTTCGAATTTCCTGAAGCTCGTAGTCTATCTACATAGGATAAAAAACCCTCTCGAGTGAAATAATGTTTTATTTTATGATTTTAGATAAAAATTGTGGTCAGGCCGCGGCAACACGACTTAATGAACCAACAAAAGTCGATTTTTAATTTTTCATAATGCGAAAAATATATATTTTTTTCATTTTTTAAATATTGTATATATGTTAGGAACTGAAGTTTTAATAATTTTACAATGTGCAACTTTGTGAGTACGTAATACTGAATTTTAACATGAACTAACGAAATAGGGAAACCCCCGCACGTGCGACTTGTGAAATTGTAAACTATCTAAAATGTATGAGTAATCCATTTATGTCAGTGTATTTACCCGTTTACACGTATCATAAGTATGAATAAAAATAAAAATATTGTTAAATTTGAAAACGTTCCGGTCTCAAGGTAAAAACTTAGATGAAAGGAAGTTTTAAATATGTGTATATACTCATACTCATGAAGCGTTCAATTCCATACTGATTCTGATTCATTCAAAGAAGGTCATTTAATTTGGGTCAGTTCCCTGAATATTTATTTTTTCCAGTTATTTACAGTAATGGATCATGTTTGCAAGATCTATATTAACACTTATCGAGAAACATTTTAGCCCTCTGTAATAAACTATTAGCTTAGCTCTTTAACTCAAGATTAGTATTTAGGTTTATAACATTTTTTTAAACTTTCCAAATTTTGTAACTTTTGTCTTCGGCGTCATCTACCGGTAACTCTATAACAGTTTGTGTTTAATTGCGTGTGTATAAAATGTTCGGCTTTATCCGAACTTAACTTCGTCTTATCTTTTATCGTTGTGTAGTGGATAGCGGAGCCAATGGAAGAAAAGCTCGTCACATTATAATTTGGGAGTAATCGTGATCGATTCATGCTCGTTAATTCTCAGAAAACGTTGTAAGCTTTTGGAGCAGCGAGCTTTTAAGTTTAACTGTATTAAATTTTTTGCGATAACTCGTAAAGCAGCGATGAAGCGATATTAAACTCATTGCAGTGCGAGAGGGCAAAAAAATTAGCTTTATTTTAAAATGTTGCAATGTCGCCAGATCAGACAATATACTGAATTTTGAGTATTTGACTTAAAATACCTAATATTTGTTACAATATTGAAATTAAAATTTAAAAGTATGTACTTCGGATGAAAGTAATTTCCAATTAATACCATAAATTTTCAATAACAAGTTAATAAATATTTGTCAACTGTCAAGTAATAATTTTTTTTATCATTTGTAATAGAAAACTAACCACCGAAACTGCAGATGTCTTCAAATACCTTTAAATTTCGCTTTTTATTGTTTTAACTTTTTTGCGATCTTGCACAGTGATTAGCAAGGTCATCGTTGAAAAATTATTTTAGCGAGTTATCAATCCGGCTGCTCTTTAATTGTATTTAGAGAGTTGTTTTATTGCCGCTAGTTATGTATATGCAATGATCCGGCTTCTTTCTATAGAACAAAGGCGAATATTTCAAATATAAATAATGAGATTCTTCAATCAAAATATGCTGATTAGTAAAAGACAGTTTCAGTCACTTGGAACGTAAATACAAAACAATAATTGTTCATTTAGGTTAGTGCAGAAGCCTTTGAAAATGAAAAACAAGAAAGAAATTCATAGTAGGTTAAAACCCATCGGAAACGAAAGATAAAATGACAAACATTAAAGGAAAAATAATTTACGGGCGATCTGAGGTTGGGAAGAGAAAGCTGAGGGGCGTGGTTGAATTTTTAAGGGTCAAAAACGGTTTATCTCGATTTCGGGCAAACCTACGAGTCTTATAGAAAAAAGTTATATGGTAATGAAAAGATCTATAACTTTTGTATGCAGACATTTTTCACATAATCTCAAAATTTATGTGGAAAATTCAAACAACCCAGTTTTTGGGTTATGTCCCTAACATTTTTTTTTTTTTTTTATTTCAAATATTTATTTTTCTCCTTATTCTGACCGAATATGAATATGAAAAAAAATCCTAATTTTCAATAAAACATTTTCAAGTCAAAATATCAGATATTTTTCAATTAGCCTTATGTTCGTTAAAAATATACATTACTATGGTAAATTTCTTCAGAAAATGCAAAAAACGACCCGACTAAAGGATTCAAAACTGCTTTTTTACTGCTGCTACTACGAAATAATAAGTTAATGAAATAAAGAGAAAGGTTTCGAATCGTTTTTCAGCGGTTTGGTGGGATCTGTTTTGCATACATACATACATACATGCAAATAATCGGAAGGAGGAGAGTAGTATTCGTATGTCTATCTCTAATATGATATGGGATCAAAAATAAGTCATATCGATCCATGCCTTTACTAATGTGTAGCTAGGTAGGTAGGTAGAGTGGCTGTCTTTCGACACAGGCCTTTGGGAGGCCCATTCTGCTACCACTAGGACCAAAGTCCCCTCACCCTATTGGCTTTTCTCTGATCCACCCCGTACTTCTGATGAATTTCATCAGTAGGGCAAATTTTGTGTAGGATATACTAACTTTTATTAATCATGTCAATTTAAAAGATGATTTGTCGTATATTTATCAAGATGTTTAAACGCCTTAACGTGGTCCTTGGGACTATATTAACGGTTGATATGTTAAGATATTTATTTCATTATAAATTGAGTTCTATTTTAATTTTGATATAAGAGTTTTAGTAATTTTAAGTTCTAGGATAACTAATACAATATATATTGTAATTTAATGACGACTTGGTCCTGCGTCTGCCATTACCACTCTGCCCTCTGTTTGCGTATCTGGTCGCCGATGTCCATTATAGCATCACGGTTCATGCATAAAATAATTTCAGCAGCCTTTTTATAAAAACGTATCACTAAGGGTGTATTTTGGAGAGAAAGTATTTAGTAAAAAAACAAGTACATTCTACTCTCTTTTACATTGAGTTTTATGTTATAAA